AGAGAAGGGTGGTCTACAAGGAGATAAAGTTGGGGCCAGCACAGGCAGACAATCAGAGCCAGCGAGTCTAAGAACAGGACTTCAGATTTCAGTGTGAAGGAGGTGAGAATATGTCTCAGGGTTTAAGATAGCCAACAGCATGATTCCACTTACAGAGTGGACTGCAAAGCTCCAGGAGGCCAGCCCCAGAGCACAGGGAAATACTGCCCATGGGAAACCAGAGCCCACATGGCCCAGGACACTCCACTCCAAGTCCCAGCAGCTTGAAAACCATGTCAGGTGTGTGTGCCCTAAATACTGATGGGATGGAGAGGTGGGAGAAAAGATTGTGGTGTAATCTCTCTCTCTCTCTCTCTCTCTCTCTCTCTCTCTTGTCTTCTCCCTCTGTTGAATGCATGCATCTGTCTATATATATTTTACTTAATTTTAGAAAGATGTTCTTAAAATTAAAAAACATCTGAGACCAGCAGGTGGCATGGTAGTTAAGGCACTGGACTCCCACATGGCCAACCACCATTCGAGTCCCGGACCTGGCTGCTTGGAAATGATACTCGTGTGTGTGGTGTGCATGCCCAAAATCCTAAGAGTAAAATGGAGGAGAAGGGATTGTGATGTGGCCATCTCCTGGAGGGTGATTTCTCACTTTCCCTCTCTCTGTTTCTCTCTGGCAAGTACACGTGCCCTTATGGCAAAAATCCTAAAAAAAATAATAATAATAATAAAAAAGAAGAAAAGAAAAGAAAGAAAGAAAGAAATTCAAGGAGACCAACAAATCCCATTTGTATATATATTGGGGTTGCCACTCCCCTTCGCTCTTTCTCATGGAAGAAATAAATGCAGTGTAAAAACGTTAAAAACATCTTTAAAGTTTCTAAATTTTAACTTCATTTTGAAAAAAAATCTCAAGGGAAAAATTAAAGTTTATTCTGGTGCAAAAAAAATTCAAGTGCATACATGTTTTTTTAATAATGCACATTTTCCATAATCTTTTAAAAGACCCTTCATCTTTGTGAAAATTCTTTCCAGCAACCACTTGAAGATTCAGTCATGTGGAGCAACAGAAGAAGCTAAAAGCCCTGTCCAGATTTCCTCAGATTCATCCAGCCAAGAAATGATGACAGGGGCCGGCAGGTGGTGTGGTGATTAAGGACGCTGGATTTCCACCCAGCCAACAGTGGTTCGAGTCTCGGACCTGGTGGCTTACTTTCTCACTGTCCCCTCTCCCTATCTCTCTCTCTCTGTCTCATTTTCACTCTGTCCCTCTGTGATCAAAATAAAAATAAAGTTAAATAAAATAATTCTATAAAAAAAAAATAAAAAGAAAAGAAAACAAAAGAATGATGACAGACCAGAGATGGAGACAGTCCTTAAAATAAGAGAAATGATTGCCCTGTCTGGGGATTCTGAAGGGAGAGCTGACAGGCTTTGCAGGTAGTAACCACAAATGATTAGCAAGTGTGGAGATTCTCTAAAACACTACATAAACTGTAACTTTAAAAATACTGCAGGAACCGGCAGGTGGCATGGGGGGTTAAGGCGCTGGACTCCCACATGGCTGAACCCGGTTCGAATCCTGGATCTGGCAGCTTGCTTTCTCACTTTCCTTCTCGCCTACTCTCTCTCTGGTCAAATTAACAAGAAAACGAAGAAAAGGAAGAGGAAAAAAAATTAAATAATAATTAACTAATAATTAAATAATAACTTTCCCTTTCCCTTGCTCTTTTTCTGATCAAATTAAAATAATAATAATAATAATAGTAAATCAAGTAAATAAATAAGTAATTAAAATAGATACTGCATCAGGAAGCTGTATTATCGACATTACTTCTGGATTTTCTTCCTGTTCTGTTCCAGTATTTTTCCAAAGTAGTTCTAAAGCTGTTGACCCATGAGTCGCATGATTTGCAGATGGGGAGACGAGTCTCTGTGTTTCTAGTGCTTCTAGGACCTTAATCGAATGCAAATATGCCTGAGCTCCCCGCTCTGAAAAATGGAGTTGCTACGGCTTCCGCCAACCTCATTCACCTGAGGTCTCAGAGGAAGGCCTGACTTTATGACTCCCCAGCCCAGCGCAGACCCCAGCGTTCACACGCACCCGGCTGTGGTCCTTCCCACAGGAAGTCCACGGTGATGAACACGGAGGAATCGTTCCTAAGGATTCCCAAAGATCCCAAGTCACAAGCAACCCTTAAGCGTGTCTGGTTTTCTCATGACTGCCAGGTGCTGTTGGGGTTCACGGTAGTTTCCGGTTTGATTCTTGCTTTCAGGCAAAAGAGATGGAACCCTTTTTGTGTGTGAAATTCAAAGCTGCTCGGGTCAGCCTCGGTCATTCATTTACGAAACACAGTTTAGCCATCTATGATCCCTAAGGGGATGCACATTATTGTCTGTTGCAGTAGTTTAAGGTATTTGGAAATGAGCCTCATCCATTCACATTTCTTTTACGTCTATAAAAAAAATCATTAATTTCATCATGGGCTAGGAAAACATGCATGCTGAAGTAAGAAGTAATCCTGATTGAATGAATCATCATTCAGGGAGTACCCGACTGGTACAAAACTGGTCCAAGACGCTGCTTAGGAAACTTGGTAGCCTCATGGTATTTCTATGACATTTATATAAGATGTATATGAATATATGTAAAATGATACAATATGTCCAATCTGATGTTATGTGTATATATGATTGTCTGGGAAATCATGACACAGTTTTGCATAGAAAAACATGGAAAAATACATCATGACTTTCTCAATTACCTAATACACACACACACACACACACAATTTTTAAATACGAGTTTATTTTTGTGCAAAATTTTGAAGTCCATGCATACTTTTTCATATTAAATCTTAGGATTTATCACTAACGTTAATTATAGTTGCCAGTCCTATTCGTTACTTACTTTTTCCTCTTGGGGTACTGAAAAAATACATGGCTTGGGGGGCAGCTTGTAGGTTGAAGTTGTGAGTGACCAAGGGGCCTAACAAACTAACAATGACAACCCCCAGAGCACCTCTTGGTTGGCAGGGCAGGGGAGTGGGGGATCAGTGGCCTACTCAGGAAGACTGGAGTTTGGGTCTGATTCGCAGCCTGGGATAAAGTCTGAGTCACCCTCTTTAGTGGATGTGGAGCATTACCAGTGGGAGTTCATGGTGCTTAGACTCCTTTCTGTATCCTTGGCACACTCTTGAGGTTAACCTCAGAACCCCTGGCCCCACGCTGGCAGTCTACAGGGTGTAATTGCCTTCCAGAATTGCTGCATGAAAGGAAGGTCATACTGGGACCAGCAGTTGCGTAATAGCTATACTCCCATGTAGTTGACCGCGGTTCGAGTCCTGAACCCAGTGGTTTAAACTCACACTGGGCTTGTGTGCATGCGTGCCCAAGATTTCGACAAGAGAATGGAGAAGGGATTGCGGGGTGACCATCCCCCCAGGGGGTGATGTCTCACTTTCTGTCTCTATGTCTCACTCTGTCTTTCTGGTGAGCGCACACACCCTATAGCAAAAACCTCCAAAAAATGAAAAAAAAAAAAAAACAAAAAAAAAGAAAGCTTTATCTGCAGGGATGATATAAACATTTTACCCAAAACTTAAGTTGGAGAACGATTACTATCATGGATACCAGAAAGTGCCTTATTGGAGCAAATGCTTGTGATATTACACCAAAAGATGCCAATTAGAACTAACCAGTCATTTCCTTTCTGCCCAGGCTCTAGAGTCAGAAGTGAGCAAAGCTTCTCTTCACCCAGTGATGTCATACCCACATAGGCATTCTGTTCCATTTTAAAGTAACACGTGTGTACATGCAAAGACAGCACATGAGTACAAACATGCACCATTATGGCAGTGTTCGCTTTGGAACGTTACGATCACTCACTCTAAGATAATGCGTGCTGAAAGATCTTTCAGAATAACCGTGTTCTCCGTAAATCAGCTATTTCGATATCATTATGTATTCCTCGGAAGGGATTTTGATTAAAAAACAAAAGAATACTTCAATTCTAGGCCTGCCATTACTGTATGTAAAATAAAGCTTATTCAACATTCTTATGATCCCAAAGTTACTCCAATATTTTTAGCAAACCTTGTAAACTTTATTCACATATTCCAAATATACTTCAGACTGGAACTAAAGAACCAAAATAGATATAAAATTAAGTAAATCGTGATGTTTGGGGACCGAGGTAAGAAATTAATTCTATTAAACAAATGAGTAAGTATAACGACAAAGTTTTTTGTGTGTGTTAATATGCAGCAAGGAATTCTCAAAAAATAGAAAAAATACTTTAATTAAATAATGAAATTATTTAACCCTTAATTCCTACAAATGAACAAAAATACATGCATAGTATCTTAGGTATCATTAGGATGCATTAAGTCATCTGGTGTGACCAGAAGACCCTCTCTCCCTTCTTTCTTTCCTTCCCTCCTTCCTTCCTTTCTTAATTTGAAGATTACATACGAGTAGAACATAAAACTATTGATACATGTATCTTGGTTGCAGTGGTGGCTACAGAACCAATCTTTACATGTGATGGAGTGTCGTAAAATTTGGCATAGTGGTTAAAGTGCTGGACTCCCACATGGCCAAAGCAAAGTTCAAGCCCTGGACCCCTGTGGCTTTAAAATGACTCCTGGCACATGTACGTGTGTGCCCAAAATCCCAAGAGAAGAATGGAGGAGAAGGGATTGTGGTGTGGCCATCTCCCCTTGGGAGGTGATTTCTCACTTTCCCTCTCTCCGTCTCTCTCTGTCTGGTGAATGCATGTACTCTATGGCAAAAAAAAAAAAAAAAAAAAGTCATAAAACTTTATGTCTACATTGTAGCAATGTCAGCTTTGTGCTGTGGATAGTGTTCTACAATGACATAAAATGTAACCATTCATGGAAAGTGGTTAATGCCATTTTAGCGTGCCATCAATGTAACTTTTTGTTACTCTCTGGCTATCCAGAAAGGAGAAGCTTTTGCCCACACTGATACTGTGGCAGGAAACATACCTTGGAACATTGCTTGTGACTCTGGCACCAAACCAGGGAGCCGTTGTTCTGCAAAAGAAAAAGAAATATTGACCATTACATGATTTTCTGGTAGGAAATGGTACACATACACACACTTACCGTTTTTTAATTATAGTGTGTGTGTGTGTGTGATTTTTAAACATCAACGTGAACAAAAGATCAAAGTTGCAAACTTGTTTCTCTCTTCCTAAAGTAGGAAGTGTGTTTCTAATACGAGTCTTCCTCTGGGATCAGTTTCCTGAAGTAAGCAAGAATGTATGAAATCATGAAAACCCCAAGTTGTGTAAAAGGGGGCACGTGTGATGGCACGCTTAGCAATGAGGTACAGACCAGCCAGAAAAGGAACTCTCTGCCTCTTCCCCAGTAAGGCGTTCGGGTCAGCATGCAAGTTGGCCATCGAGTAAGCTTGTGATCGCAGTCGATTTTCCATAATAAGCGTTTCCGCTCGGGAGACCCAGCCCACGTGCAAAGCCATCTCTTTCTGTCTCGCTAAATGTTGACCTAGTATCCCTAGCCTCAGTTTACCCATCAGTGAAACAAGCCTAACATCATGGGGTCATTGAGCAAACGGAGGAATACTCACATTCAGTCTATAACTGCTATGAGGACTAGCGTTTATTATTGTCGAACGTTAGAATACCTGCTTGGGAATCTCTCGTTCCACAGAACTGAATCTGCGGTCACGTTTTTTCCTTCGGCTGTGCTATTTTAAGTCAGATGGTGCTAAGCCAGTGCAGTTGGTTGAGCCAGGAGAAACGTCACCTGGGGGCTAGACAGGGGGTGCACGGCAGTAAAACAGGACACTCTGTGATGCAGACCCACATGGGACATCTCCAGGTTCTCATCTGGGGACCTCCCTGACTCTGCTGGGCATGCGGGTGCCTGTGATCTGGGGCTGGGGTAGATCGTGGAGGGGCTGTATCTGTCTCTCTGTCTCTCTCATAGAAGAAACAAGTCCATCAACTTAGAAACATTTTTATTTAATTGCCAGAGGGTATATGAACTCGCCAGAGAGAGACAGACAGAGATGGCAAGGAAGAAAGGTCCCACTGCAGCGTAGCCATGCCACAATCCCTTCTCCATCTCTCCATTTTAAGCTTCCACGGTTGGGATAAAATCCATGGTCAGCCATGGGGGAATCTGGCTTCTTAACCACTGGACTATGGGCTGGCCCATGTTTTAAAAAAGGGAAAAAACGCTGGACTGCCATGTAGTCGACCGCAGTTCAAGTCCCGGACCCGGTGGCTTAACTCACGCCGGGCACATGTGCGTGTGTGCCCAAGATCCCGAGAGGAGAATGGAGGAGAAGGGATTGCGGTGTGGCCATTGCCCCTTATTGAGCTATAACATACGGTAGAGTCAACTCACTCATTTTCACCACACACATCAGTGTTTGCAGCACACTCAGAAGCCACATGGCCACCACCACCCTCTCATTCGAGAACACTTGCCTCAGCCCCCAAAGAAGGCTGCCCCGTGTGTAGTCAGTGTCCTTCTTTCCCTCCCTCAGCCCCTTGGCAACAGCCGCCTACTTTCCGCCTCCGTAGCTTCGGCCCGCTCACGTAGATGATGGCCTACAACGCCGAGTCTCGGGGCTGGCTTCCCAGCGGGGATGTTTCCCATAAAGCCGAATGGCAGTGCGGTTTCGCTTCGCCTGTGTTGTAGCATAGGTCGACACTCTTTTTACTCTCATATTCCGTCGTATGGACACACCACAGGTTGCTCATCCAGACCCAGGAGTACACTGTGTGTGTGTGTGTGTGGCTGGCCAGCCAGGGGTTCCCATCGAGGTTGCCACGTGTGATCTGACGTCTCTGGCACAGGGCATTAGCGCCGGGGCACAGAGCCCAATCCGGAGCACACCGCATGCTCTATGCCATTCTCCACCCTTGCTCTGAATAACAGCGCTCCCGAATCGGTACGTCAATCTCAGCGACACAGGGCCAGAAATCGTCCTCGTGTCTGTGGGGCCCACTGGACTGCGAGATCTCGGACCCCGTGACCACTCCAGCTCTTACGCCTGCCTCTTAAAGTCCAAGTCTCTCTCAACCTACTGCCCAATAATTCCTGCACGTACCTAGGAATTGCCAACCTACTCTCAGGCCGCCTCCCTCCCCATGAGCCTCAGCACTCCCCTGAGGTCTGCTGCAGTCCTTTACCTAAGTGTCCTTGGGTTTTTTTGGAAGACATTTGTCTGTTTTCCTTAGGGGGTCTGCGCTCACCAGAGAGAGAGACAGAGACACAGAGAGGGAAAGCGAGAAATCACCCCCCAGGGGGGATGGCCATGCCACAATCCCTTCTCCTCCATTCCCCTCCCAGGATGTTAGGCACGCACGCACACACGCCCGGTGTGATGTTCAAGCCACCGGCTCCAGAATTCAAACTGCGGTTGGCCACGTGGGACCCCAGCGATATAACCGCTAGCCACCTGCTGGTCTGACCTCTATCTAAGCCTTAGTTCCGCAACCTGAGTGATGAGTGCATGCTTGGCTCTCACAGAGACCTTACCCAGCCAGGTGCCTGCAGCTTCAGAAGCAGGCGTGCGGCCGGCCCGGTGGTGTGTGAGCAGCGCTGCATGCCATGTGCCCGTGAGGTTCAGCTCCCGGACCCAAACTGCTCAAAACATGCCAGGCACGTCCGAGATTCAGCGGACGTTCCACGGCTAGAGGACTGGAGGGAGGGAGTGGGGGCACGGCCGGCTTCTTTTTTTTTTTTTTTTTTTTGGTGAGTTTTTCACCTTGGGGGGC